AAAAAAGATGAAACAACATGGATAGACCTTGAGGGTGTTATGCTAAATGAAATAAGTCAGATGGAAAAAGACAAATGCCATATGTTTTTACTCATACGAGGAATATAAAAAATAAAATAAACAACTAAACCAAACATAACAGAAATGAACATAGATACAGGGTAATGGTTATCAAGGGGAAAGGGACATTGAGGATGGTGCAATGGTTAAATGGGGTCAACTGCATAGTGTGGATGGAAACTTTCTGTGTATTCAGAAGTTGATGTATTATACAATGTTGTACATGTGAAACTTAAAAATAAATAATTTAAAATAAGACTTGGAGTCACTTTCAGTTACATCTGGTTTGCCAAAGCTCTTTGTTTTTCACTAATAATAGTGATAATAACATTTTCATTAAAAACATAAATCAGATACAGGCTGTCTTCCAAACTTCAACTAGCTATATTAAGACATTTTTTAATGGATTTTCTATTATGCTGGAAAAAAATAGAAAATATGTCTCAGACTAGGATACTTTCAGTAGACATGCTACAACCAGAGAAGGAATAAATATACCTTCTCCAGCTAGTTTAGTGGTTCTCCATCTTGGCTCCACCTAGGTCCAAATATCACCTGGGGAACTTTAAAAATCCGGATGCCCAGGATGTACTCAGACCAATCAAGTCAGAATCTGTGGAGGTGGGACCAGTTATCGGTATTTTAAAAAGTGGGTCCAGAATTGGGAGCGTGGTACTGACACACGAGCACCACCATGTGTAGAATAGATGCTTAACAGGAAGCCGCCGTGTGCTCAGGGCGCTCAGTTCAGGGCTCTGTGATGACCCAGAGGGGTGGGATGGGGATGTGAGTGGGACGGAGGGCCAAGAGGGAGGGGGTGTACACACACACACACACACACTGATTCACTTCACTGCACAACAGACAGAAACACAACATTGTAAGTCAATTATACACCAATAAAAAGCAAATAAAGAGCAGGTCCAAGGCCAATTCACACCAAGCTCAGAGCTACTACTGGCTACACAAACCTGAGTGGTTTGACAGGGCATAAAACAGATTATGAATTATCTATTTTACAATTACCAAGTCACCACCAATAAAGAACTCACTATTGCCCCAAGCAACTGTAACCGTGCCATTAATTTTCCTATAAATGCAGTCAACCATTCCTCTACTTTGTTAATTTAGTTTGACTTGCACAGAATGGCAAAACCTACAATCTTCTCCCAGATAATCAAGAGTTGCTTGTAGTACCTCCGCTGCCATTATTTCTACTCTCATAAAAATAACCCACCTCACACTTTCATATTTCATTTTAGATCATTTCATAAACTCTATCATTAATCCCAGAGCTTCAGGTGTATAGTAAGCACCATGATATGCCCTGATATGTGTAGTCACTGGATTTGCATTTCTATTCAAATCATAACTATATCCAAACTGCACCTGCAGATTCCCTGTATCAGCAGCCATCTGAAAGGCACACATTTTAATCTGACTTTAATGCAGAGCTCCTCAATTTGAGCAGATGCTTGAAACTACATTTCAACCAGTGTGGTGGCTCATAAGACCCACTGATTTTTTTTGTCTCAGTCTTGCATAGAGTTAAAACCCCACCACAAAAAAGAGGACTTATTTGACTGATGGATGATCATTGGTCCCACTGCCACCTTCACCCCCACCTGCTCCCCCAGATGATCAGAATTTCCTAAAGCTGCTCTCATTCCAGGAATGATCAGGACTGAACTCATAAGCAGATTTACCAGGAAGCCAATGAAGCTTAAGCCTGAGGGCCTCTGGATGTGTCTGGGCCTCTTCCAGTGCTCTGAAGGTTTGTACTTGTAATTTGATATGCTTTTGCTTGAGGCAAATTGTGTGTTATACCCTACAAATCCTGGATCCATCCATAGTGGGTCTAATGTAACTTGGCTGCCATTTGGAAGGCAAGCACTAAAATAAGCTGTGAAATCTTCATAATGTGAAGTCAGTAAGAATTAGCTGTGTTAAACCATGTCGACAGGTCAGTCTTTTCTTCCTCTCCAACAGAGGGACTCCTGTTGGTCTATGAGGAAAGAGGGCATGACATGGAAGGAAAAGAAACCTATCTTTGGAAAGGACAGGCTCTAGGTCCTAAAAGAAACCAGAGAGAAAAATCTAGACTTTTCCAGTGTGTGCAAAAATCAGATAGGCTTGGACCCAAGGGGCAGGATGGCAATCCTAAGCAGATCCCAGGCCACCTACCATAGATAAAACTCAGCTTTCTCTGCCTTTACAGCTAAGCATGTACATCTTGTTAGGCCTTCTTGTGAAGAAATTTTCTGTTCATCCTCTTGCTAAATTCAAATTCATTCTCATGCAGTAAAGTTACCTTCTAAGCAATCATTAATGAGAAATGGCTCACATGCAAATGTCTGGAGTGAATATTTGAAAGCATAACCACTAATTGATGGTTCTAACCCAGAGTTCCCAGACTGCTATGTATTTTGATGGAGGTAGAGGTGGGGGACGCAGAGATAGATGGAGGAGGATTAAAGCGGGAGGGAACCTGAAGAGGAGCCTGAAATATGGAAGCCCACTCGGCAGACTGCATGACTTGGCCGGGCAGCACATTGTGTCAGGCTACCAGCCACAAGCAGCAGATCGGCACCACCAGGCGGGCTTATATTGCAGTGAAACAAGCAGATAGGCCTGCAAAGACAGATGGGAGCATGAGGTCTCTACAACCTTCTCTCCTGCTCACTTTGGCAGCTCTCCACGTTCTGGAGGCACATGCGGGTCAGTAATTCCTGATTCAGAGAGTGGATGAAAAGTCTGATAGCGGATCTTAACCGTTATCTAGCACTCCTTTCCCTTGGACATTTGTCCTTCTGGACCTAGAACTTCTTTGGACAGCATCAGGCTCTCCCTGACCAGTCAAGAAATCCAGATCATCTTCTTAGTACTTCCTTTCTTTCGGCTCCGTGACCACCTGCTCTCTTGACCTGTGAACTTGGCCCTTCTGCCAAATTCTCCCAGGCAGGCGGACTCTCCTGTGGGGCCAGCTCCATGGAGCAGCTGAGCCCCAGGAAAGTACTGATCCCTACTCCAAAACTGATCCCCTTTCTTAGTACCATGGGCCATGGAGACTGACCCCTGTGTAGCTTGCTGCTTGAGAGCAGGGCCACAGACACTGCCAAATCCATCTTGCATTTCATTTATGAATAAAATTGGATCATGTAGGGGCACAGCTCTTGAGGTGCTAGCCTACTGTGTGCCCCCTTTGCCTGGCAAAGTAATAAAGCCACTCTTTCTCCTCCATAAAAAAATAAATAAAACAGTTGGATCAGGAGGCTCCAGACCACATTATAGGTGACCGCAGCAGCAGTGTGATGCGCGGAGGACCAGGCTACTCTGCACCCAGCACACTGGCTGCGGTCAGCCAGCAGTCTGCCCTCCTCAGCCGACTGACCGAGGAGAGCTTTCTTGCTGCACCTCTTGCAGCAGCAGGAGAGAAGCAAGAAGACAGGCGGCAGAGCAGCAGCAGGGTTCAGACAGTGAGGAAGGTGGCTCTTAGGGATACTCCATCTCTGGCTCATCATGGATGGATAAGCCTGAGTTCGAAAGCCATTCTCCATCAGAAGTCTGCTTCAGCCTCGGGTGAATACAGGTACTTTCCCTGACCCAGCCTCCAACTAATGGGGAGATGGGCTCATTTCAAATTGACCAAAAAGCTATTTTCCCTCACAAATAATATTTAAATTAAGAAACCCGTGAGGAAGCTCTGTACTTCACCTTTTCCAAAGTCGGGCCAGATTATGAAAACAAAAGACAGGAGAAGGTCTCAACGAATCACAGTTGATAACTCACTCTGCCGAAAGGGTAAAGAAGACCCCTATTACTTCGTCAAAGAAATCTTCATTATTATAACATGCAGTCAACAGCAGAAGCTGACTGGATTGAGAAGACATCCATATTATTGCCGTTACAGGATGTATTGTACCATGTTGATGGGAATTGGGGGGAAGTTTTAGGGAATATTTGGGGCAAAGAACATCCCCAGTTTGCCTGACCACATCCAGTGAAGGGTGTGTGGTAAAATATTTAAGATGTGGAATGTCATCAGTGTGCAAAGATTTTCCATTCAGATGGAATATATATATGTATATATAATAATTACTATGGTAATTTATGTTCATTTTAGAATATCTCTCTGTTCTTACATCAGTTTAGAAAGCTTTCACCCAGACAGTACCTACCAGTTACTACTGTTGAATACAGGTTCATAGGCTTTGGAAATTAACTTTTTTTGTCCATTATTAATGAGCAACTGCTAATTAACAACATGTATCATCACTCCTGGAACCCGTGGAGTTAGTTTAGGTGAAGGAACTCACAGCAACAGGATTGTTTAAACCACATACAGATTTATTTTAACATAATGTCCTTCTTGCACGTGAGAAAGGAGGACAGAGATAATAAATATAATTTTTCATCTATTTAAAATACTGTGCTTTTATTTTAGATACTTCTTTACCTTGAAAATTAACTGACAACAGCTAAGCACCATGGAGGTACTGGAAGTGAATTATGAGTCCACTAAAGCAATAGATCCCTCTCTCCTCTCCCACCCCCTTCACAAGCCTTCCCTCCCACCTTGCAAATGCTTTTAGCACTGTACTCAATTAAAAGGAAAAGGTGTTCTCAACAATTTGGCTTAAAAGGTTAAAGAACTCTGTTAATACAACATAAGAAAAATAACACATCCTTTCCTGATACAGAAGTTCTCGAAAGTGTTAAGCATAGGCTACCTGTATGAGGCTGACCTGTAGGTGCTTATTTAAAAGACAGTCTCACACCAAGACACACTGACTTAGACTAGGGGGCTGGGAATCTGCATTTTTAAGAAGCTGCCCAGTGTATTATCAAGATGCTGGCAGGCAAGGACCACTGATTTCCCAAAATTTGCCAGAGGTCTGGGCAATTAACTGCCAAGCGCTCAACAGCTCGCCCCTACTCACCGGGTGGACTCCCATGTCCTGCTGCAGCCGTAGCAATTGCAAAAGCAGAGGCCGGGGAAACAGAGCAGTGGGAGTTGTCAGCCGTCTGTCCTGGTTATTTAAAAAGAATGGAGATGGCATGGTGAGGCAGATGTATAATATTACATAATGAAAATTCTCATTTTCATTCCTGCACTGAATGAAGGGTTGGGTCAAATACCCTGTGTTGTCCTTATTAATAGGCAAATAACAAGATTCTATATCAGCAAGTTCATTCTAGTTATAGACCCAACAGAATGAAAACATATGTCTATTAAAAAACTTACACACAAACATTCACAGCAGTATTATTCATAATAGCCAAAAAGTAAAAACAGCCAAATCTCCACCAACTGATGAAATGATAAACCATATCAAAAATTCCCATGTGAGGGAATATGATGTAGCCACAAAAGGCATGAGGTAGTCATACATACTACAACATGAATGTACCTTGAAAGCATCATACTAAGTGAAAGTTGGTCACAAAAAATCATGTATTATATGATCCCATTTATAGAAAATGTCCATAATAGGTAAATACATAGAGACAAAAAGTAAATTAGTGGTTTCCAGGTATGTGGGGGGATGAGAATGGGAAGTGACCACTGATGTGTACAGGATTTCTCTAGCAGGGGTGATGAAAATATCTGGATTGAGATAGTGGTTATGGTTCTCAGCCTTGTGAATATATAAAACCACTGAACTGCACACTTTAAAAGGGTGACTCTTATGGTATGTGAATTTTATCTCATTATAAAAATATTTTTAAAAAATATTCTACATGTTACAGATAGAATTTTCTTCTCAAAGCACCCTTAGAAAGGGGGACAGGCTCTCATACTGAAGGACGCACCGAACACCTTTTGGTAACTCCTCTCGCTTTTTAGATATTTACACATAGCATTTGATAATGTTGATGCCAACCTCACTCTTTTTCTCACTCAGATTTTAGTGAAGATAGTTCACTTCTTCTGTGGCTTTTCTGTGATTCTGTGGCTTTATTAGTTTGCCTCTAAAGTCATACAGTCGTGCTTAAAATAAATAAATGGGGAAGCAAAGAGCTGCTTAACGTGCCTAAGCACAAAAGCACAAAACAGCTCTACCCTCTCCTTCGGCTGTAGCCTGAAAATATTTGTGGAACAAGGTGGGCAAGGAGACAGATGAACAGGCAAAATTTCAGCTACACAGTGAGAAAATGTGGGCTGCTGCCACTATTTGGACTCTCCATACATCATCACAGACTGTGGTTTCCTTCCTGCATCTCTGGGATTTGGTTGGATCAGGAAAGAAACAAAGGACTTAATTAATCCACAAATAGGATGAGGATTTTCAAATAATGCCTATATAAATTTAAAGAATTTTAAATGAATTTAAACATATGAAAATAGACCATAAAGCAGAGCTGTAATGATAGTAACCAAGTGGAAAGCATTAAAATAACTCTTGCCTCGGTAAAGTTTTGCTTCCATATAGTTTGACTCCAAACTCTTCCAGGTTATAATGAACTCAAGGGAGTCTGTCTGACAGGGCAATGGTCAGAGAAGTTGCCAAGGTCTGGACTGATCAAGGCTCTAAGAGTAGTAAAGAGATTTGGCCAATCCCACAGTAGTCTTATAACAAGGCAGGGAAGTCTAACTTGTCACATTGGTTTTCCAGAAGTACCCAAATGTCAGGGTGACCCATGACTGATCAGGAGCCCAAAATCAGTCCCACTCCCAAAGGGCTAATATCCATCAGGGCAATTCTGCTGACAGTGGTCCACCCAGGCTAGCTGCTCTTGGAGCTGATGGCAACAATAGCTTCCGCTGTGTTGCTGAGGCTACAAATGAAATGACTATTTGGAGCCATGCACTCTGTCTTTTGCTAAACTGCCTTACTTGAATAGGAATATGAAAGTCAGAAAACAGCTACATTTACTTAGGTTACTTGGGGTGAATCTGCTTTCACAAATGAATAATTTTCCCTTCCAACTTGAAATAACTGTCTTGAGAAAAAAGGAGACATTTCAAAAACAACTGTTATCTGGGGTTGTATTTATTTGAGCAATGGGGAGATAAAAGATTTCTATCTTTTGCTCTGATGGTTTTCCCTTCAATTAGAAATGGTATATTTTAAAACAAATTATGGGATAATATTTTCTAATTTTCATAATAGAAAATATACCAGATTCTGTCACTAACAAAAATGAAGACTAGAGTCCCAGGCAACTGGACATTACTTTAGCTGAAATATTGTTCTTAATAAGGTCACTCTACAGTTTTGTGTCCCAGATGAACCTATTTAATACAGACTACACTGGGAGGTCATCAGAGTAAGGTCATCAGAGTCTGGGAACATTTTGGCAAAACCAGTACTGACATTCAATCAACTGACAACCAAGAATCAGATTCAGGTTACTGCACACAAAATGCCATGCAATGATGGTGGTCAAGTAAATACTGGTTATACTAGTGACATTTTCTCTAATCATTTATGTTCCACTACTTGCTCCCATGGTAACATTTGCTTCCAATTAATTTTCATAACTGAGACTGAAAAATATTTGAGAACTGAAATGGTAAGGTAAACAAAAGATTCAGGAGCCAGAATCAGCTCTCACTCGCGTGTTTCTGAGTCCCTTTCTGAGGGCTCACCTCCAGGCTGGCGGTAGCGGAGGTGCCGAGGAGTTGAGGGCGACCTGCAAGGTGAGAGTTCTGTAGCATCGGCTGCAGGGGAGCTGTCCACACCTGCTCGGTCCACGGGCGCAGACTCGAGGACTGCTGCTTTAAAACATCACACATTTTAACAACCAGGTTATGAATTCAAGAGCATCTTGTTATTATAATGCATGGGAACACAAAAGTTCCTTATGGATAATAAGCATTTCATACTAGTCTGTATTTTTAAAGGACTTTATCATGATATTGAAGAACCAACTCATTGGAAAAGATCCTGATGCTGGGAAAGATTGAAGGTGGGAGGAGAAGGGGATGACAGAGGATGAGATAGTTGGATGGCATCACCAAAGTGATGGACATGAGTTTGAGTAGGCTCTAGGAGTTGTTGACAGACAGGGAAGCCTGGCGTGCTGCAGTCCATGGGGTCGCAAAGAGTCGGACACAACTGAGAGACTGAACTGAACTGATCATGATATCGAGCCACTCCTCTCTGGCAGAATGCTGATGATACACAACATGTGGTTAGTGGCTACAACACTGAACAACATTTTTCCATCCTTCCAGAAAGTTCTAATGCCCTAGAGCTACAGATAAGCAGCAGGCAAGTGAAAATTTTTACAATGAAAGTTGAGAGGTTTTAAGATAATTTGAGTCTCTTCACTGCAGGTAACATCCCATGAGTAAAAGAAACATCATTTTAGGGTCAGATTCAAGCTATTACCACATCCCTTGCACTAACTTGTTAACCAGGTAAAATTACAACTTCATGTGTGTTATTTTAAGGAAAAGCACTACAAAAATTTCATAAACTTCTAACAACTCTTTGATTTCTTTTTCCTTGGGTTTTGCATGAACTGATAAAAACTGTATCACCTCCACTAATTTTCCATTATCTATGTCAGCAGAATTATTCTCAACTCCTTTTACCATTCCATTCAAGATTTCACTCAACAAACTCGACAAAATTCCTAATGACTTCACATAAAGCCGTTTTTACACTTGTATGTGATTCACTCCTTTAGAAATATGGCCCAAATTCAGCTCTTCTGAAACACAAAGGGGCCAGGGAAAGGAAATGGTTAGAATCTTTCCTTGAATGACATAATTACAGTCAAGCTGGCAATGATGCAGGATGGAGACAAAAAAAAATCAGTGCTTAGCTGTTAGTTTTATTATTTTCTAAATAACTCCCTCAAAATTCAGTAATAGAAGGCATCTGCTCTGCAAGAGCAAGCAGAATATCAAATGTGTGTCCTCGGTCTGATTCAACCATTCATTCCTCTGAGGCAAATGAGCAAATCATTTAGTCAGCAATTACACTGAACCAAAAAACTTCCCAGTGCGATAGCTGGACAGGGCTCGGAAAGTCCACTGAAAGAACAGAAAAGCAGAGAGTAACACTGTAAGCAAACGGGCACCTACAGAGAGGAAAAATCACGCCAGCACAGTGGGGGGAATGAAGCGTTTCCTTCTGGCAGGTTCACTTTCAATCAATCCCTGCAAACAGCTCTGCCTGCAGAACGAGTGGGCAGATGTGGGCTCAAAACAAATGCTAAAATTGGGAGCACTCTCAACCCACAGGCAGGCAATTTTCAAACTAGGAACAAAGAAACAGACACTAGCGATGCGGGTCGAGAATGCTTAGACTGTGTTGCACAGCCAGGGCCCAAGAGAATGCTGATGGACTGAGACCTGAACACCATGAGCAGGCCCCCATGGGTCTCCTCTCTTCTCTGATGTCAGTTATATTTTGTTGATATCCCACCACTGGGTGGAATCTGAATGTGTGCTGGGCTGAGATTTATGCTTTTTAGAATTCAAGATAACAGAAGGTGGGGCCTTCCTGGAAGGAAGAAAGAAGAGCACTAATGGATGTAGAGTGAGCCTGGAACACAATTGGGGATTAGTGGGGGTGAAACTAACTGCATTACTCTTCCGTTACAAGTTCACAGCCTCACTCAGATGAGGGATGGTTCCTGTTTCTCTTTTTTCCCTTCATGTCATTTGAAGTTCTCTTGCCAGGAAAGATGGCAAGGCTGGCATTATAACTGCAATGACAATAAAATCGGACAAAGGTTACTAGCAGTTTTCAAAGAGGGCATCTGGCAACTGTCTAGCTAGACAGCAGTGAGAGGACCCATGGCCTCACTACAGACTCAACAGTGAAGCTGATCTTGTGCAATGAGGTTTGGAAAATTGCATCCTGAGGTGAACAGCAGAAAATGTATAAACTCTAGGCACAGACTTCTTATTCAAGTTTGCCAACTGTTTTAAGTGTCAATATTATGCAAAGCACACACAAACATCTTTCAAATTAAAGACAGATCATTGTCTCCATTTACTTTGCCAACTGAAATTTTCAAGATTAAACAGCAGAGTTAACACAGCAGCACTCTTGGCTTCTATAGACGTTATGCACGCGCGCACACACACACACACACACACACTGATCTTGTCAGGCTGATGCTGAAGTAAAGTGTTTCATCTATGACTTTCCTGGAAATATTCATGATCAGTACTGCCTATATACCAATGCAAAATAAAAGGAAAAATTAAATATATAGTTCCTTCATTTCACCCTTCAGAAAAATGCCCAAGAGCTACCTAGACCTCAGTATTATTTCTAAGCTTTCTATTCACAGTGTTTCCTTTATGAGGATCCACAGGATAAATTATTCTCAAGTCCCAGGAACAAGAAAAGATGTGCCTGCAGACCAGTCTATTCTTAGTTTTCTGTATGAATCATGTAATTGATTACACTCAAAACCAAAATCAGAATGACTCCAGGAACTGGAGAGAACCACACAGTATTTGTTTGTTCACTAACCATACCCTTCGCCTCAGACAATTTTTTTCCATTGCCTATTTCTTTATCTATTTTATTTTTAATCTAGTGTACCATGTGCCTCTTTGAGTTACATCTTAAATACTTTGAAGAACAATCGGGGAAGTAAATACATTAAAAATCATCAGAAGACAGCTACCTGAAAGGGAAAAGAAATCAAGATGCAAAGAAGTGGCCAGAAACAAAGTATTTAAGAGAATGATGGGCCTTCCCAGGCAGCACTAGTGGTAAAGAACCTGCCTGCCAATGGAGGAAATGTAAGAGACACAGGTTTGATCACTGGGTGGGGAAGATCACTGCTGAGGAGGGCACAGCAGCCCATTCCAGTTTTCTTGCCTGGACAATCCCAAGGACAGAGGAGCCTGATGGGCTACAATACATAGGGTTACAAAGAGTTGGACACAACTGAAGCGACTTAGCACACATGCAAGAGAAGGATTGTTGGGGGGGCAATTACAATAGAGATGAGAGATAAAGGGGGATGTGTCAGTGGGTAGTCGTGATTATGACACGCTGGACAGTGGGCAGAGGACCAGACATCTCTGGAGCTGAGGTAGGTTCTCAGGGACTAACAAGTGCCATGGCCATGCGTGGACACAGTCCTGAACACTGCCACCTCCACAGCGAGACAAGCTCTGCATTTAACCCTGACTCGAGAACCACAAAATCCTATTTCTACCCCACAAGCCATGTGAATAAACTGACCCCTGAAACTCTAACTGCAAGTCATTTGTTGGGGGAAATCCAGTGGAGATACAGAAGCATTAAGCCCTCAACTTTGGTTTTTCTCTAATATGAGAAAGATCCTACTATTTCTGTCTTGCCTTTATCCATGGGCCCTTTCCACCTGCTGGGCCCTAGTCAGAAACAACCTGAGCTGCCACATAACGAGGTCTCCAGGCGCCACTAGCTGCGCCCACAATGTTCCCACCTCTGGCAGTCTGTTAGCGTCTTGCCCTGGGAGCTTGATTTGGTCCTTTGTCATTTATCTTGGCTCCCCAGTTCTAAACTTTTTCCACCTTATTACTCTTGGGGAAAAGCCACTGATTCCTGCCAGTGATCACACTTCTATGTGAGAGAGTAGGCCAAACAGATGTTATGATGTGGCATTGGACCATCACATGCACTCTGGGCTTGGGCTTGGAAGGCCATAACTAGGGAACTTGGTGACCACTGTGGAACAATCCATGTGTAAGTAAAAGTCTAAGAATTAATTATTATGCGTAAGGGGCAACTTGACTGAGGGCCTTTAGAACTGTAACACGTACTTAGTATATAATGCAAAAAGGAATAGATTTTTCCTTTGCTTCTCTATTAAAGAAAAAAGTTACTGTCTATACTATCAGGCCCTAGCCAAGTTAAAATGCAATCTCTACAAAATTGCAAAAAATGAGAAATATTCTTACTGTGCTCCCATTAGAAGGCCACTATCAAAAGAACAGAAAATACTTAGGGTTGGCAAGGATGCAGAGAAACTGGAACCCCGTACTCTGTTGATGGGAATGATAAATAGTGTAGGCACTATCAAAAACAAAAATTTCCTCAAAAAATTAAAAACAGAATTACCATATGATCTAGCAATCTCACTTCTGGGGATATAGGCAAAAGAATTGAAAGCAGGGTCTTGAAGAGAATCTGCATACACACGCACACTGCAGTATTACTCGCAATAGCCAAGAGAGGCAAACGGCCCAAAAGTCCATCAAGAAAGGAATGGATAAAGAAAATATGGCATACACATACAAAGGAATACTACTCAGCTTTAAAAAAGGAGAAAATTCTGGCACATGTTACAACAAAGATGAACCTTGAGGACATTATGCTACATGAAAAAGCCGGTTTTATTTACATGCAATATAAAAAGTAATCAAATTCATAGAAACAAAAATAAGATGGTGGCTGCCAAGGGCTGAGGGGACGGAGAAATGGGGAGTTGTCCAATGGGTATATAGTTTCAGTTTTGCAAGATGAAAAAGTTCTGCGTATTGCACAATAATGTGTATATATTGATACTTAACACTACTGATCTATAAACTTAATGGCTAAGATGGCCAAAAAGAAGGAGGAGGAGAGAGAGGAGGACTTTTCGGGAGAGTTTTAAATAGTTTCTAGATACTAGAAAGCAGGAAGACTAGTAACAGGGTCTCCTCTGCAGAGCTTCACATGGTGTCCAAACTGGACAAAAGCTGTCCTTTCACAAGCAGTGACCACTCCTGCTCTTGGAAATGGCTTTCACCACTGGGGGTTACCACCAGACCTTTGCTTACAGGTGCTCTTTGCCCATGAGTTTGCCTATTTCCTCCATGCAGCCCATTTGTCCATTCTTCTTGGCTCACGTCAATGACACCTGCAGATTCTGCTCAAACCAAACATGATCTCCCCTGCTTTTTGCCTTCCTGAGCACTCCATCTCTACATCTTGCACCACCTGTGTTTGTCTACCTTCTCCAAGGGGCAAGGGCACCATCTTATTTACCACTGTGGATCCTATAGTGCAGCAACGTGCAGGGAAAGAGGTCACAATGACTCCCGAACAGCCTTACCCTGTTCTGATCCCAGCCTCAGGGGCATTCCAAACAGTCGCAGAGCCACCAATGTCTGACACTGAGATGCTATTCCTAAAGCTCTCCTAACTCAAAATGACATGAGAATCCAGACGAACCTCCAGGTTCCTCCTCTCTCATTTAATACAATCCAATAACAGAGGAGAAAGAACTTTCTATATTCTGGGAAGTTCATGTACTTCCTAGGCCGCTCTGACCCAGAGAGGAGATTTGAACTAAGCCTCCCAAAATCACTCCCTCCACAGAGACTCCCAAGCACTGGTCTGGATCAAACCCCAGATGCACTTGTCAGCTTGTGCACTGCCTCACTATTCCCAAGAAAAATCCATCGTGATTCTGCTGCAGCTTGTTGTTCTAATGACTTTTTAATTATCTTTCCCCTTTCATCCTCCTTAGTTGCTAATGTGTCAACTTAAAGAATTTCTTGTTTAAAAGGGTGCTACTTTTGATCTTGACAACCACTCCAGTTAAAATTCCATGAATCACTTCACTCAGAAAGCTGATTTAAATGATCTGAGCTAGAAACTGCAAAGAGGCTTCAAGCAGGTATAAAGCAGGAATCTGTGCTTCCATCTCAGTGATCCTCCTTAAAATTTGGACAATTTGCCTGACTTATTGCCCATTTTTTTATTATGTTATCAGCAAACAAATCAGTCACTGTGTAGTTTACAAAGAAGCTGTTTGGCTAATTTGGCTGTTAAATTCTGTTCATCACAGAAACACTGGATTATAAAAGAACAAGGCTAGGCTCATCTCCTCCAACCCTTACGCTGTGTCAAGCTGAGGAGGGTACGGAGATGTGTCACAGCAATCCCTAATTAGTCCCCTGAGTGTTTTGCTTGATTTATTCATTTAACAAAAATTTACAATCTGTGAGGCAAAGGCCAACGCCCTGACAGTACAGAAGTGAACAAGAGAGACAAGGTTGCTGATCTCATGAGCTTCTGTAGGAAAAGACTTCCCAGGCAGAAAAGACTGCCCAAGCAAGGGCATAAACAAGTGCCAAGGTCCTGAGGCAGTAATGACCCAGGAGTTTTTGAGACACAAAAAAGAAATCAGTGTGACTGAAGCCAAGGAGATGAAGAAGCATGGCAGGAGCAGGGATTAGAGAGACAGCATCCAAATCTCATAGGATCTGAAGGCCTTGGGAAGAAGACTGTACTTTTTTCTAAGTATGATCGGAAGTCTTTAGAGACTATAATCAGGAAACCAGATTATCTAATTCACATTTCTAAAAACCGCTTTGGTTGTGTCATGGACAGCGAACACTGTCTCAGACTTTATTTTTTCCCTATTCCTCTGTCATAATATGGAGTGTTGCCTTGGAAACTAAACTCAAGAAGTCATCTTAATGCTTCCAGGCTAGGTTGTCATCTTAGGCAAGGAAAGGCTGGAAGCAGTACAAGTGCTTAAGGTGGACCCTGGAGGAGGAGAAGGCTCTGGGGCTCAAGGTCACGGATGAGGGTGCCTGCAACTTGCCTCTATGCCAAACATTGGGCTATGCTCTTTAGCCAACCAGCCTTAATCAAATTCCACTAAGAACCTTCCAGTGATAATCAATTAGATGACACCACCCTTCCATAGACAATTGACTACAATTGGCCTCTTACTACAGAAGTCAGCTAACCCTGCCCTCCTTCCACAAAGGCTGGAGACTTTCAGGACTTTCTAACTAGCCATTGCATTCACTCTACTTTCTATGCAAAAGTAGGAGAGTGGTAAAGAAAGGGAACTAGGGTTCCAGAAGGAATGGTGGGGAAACGGGGCCAGCAAACACAGGGTGTGGCAGCAGGATAATACCTCTCTGAATGCTTCGTTTTAGCTTGTTACACAGATCCACGCGGGGGTTATCAACAGACTCCTCTAGAGATCCCGGGCTTTGTTCTGGAGAAGAAAGGCCTCTGCTCAGATCCAACGGCACTTTACCAGTATGAGGCGGTGGGGACGCAGCCGGGCTGTGGGTGGTGGTGGGGCTGTTGGACGCCGAGGAGGTGGTCAGATCCAGCGCGCCTATCCTTGAGTTCAAGGGAGACGTCAAGGACAGCTTTCTGGCCCTCACTGGGGAGGACGTCCTGGAGACAGCCAGTGGAGGCGGGGAAGAGAACTTGCGACACAGGCGTGGGGATTTGCCTTCCACCAAGTGTTCACCTCTGTTGTTCTGGCTGGTAGCGAAAAACAGTTCCAATGACCTAAAAGTAAGAGCAAAAGCTATTAACAGATTGTGGCCGAGTGAAAAATTAGTCTCCCAATGTCGTTCAAGACATGCTCCCTACATTAAAAGGCCATGCTATCATATAACTTCTGTGGCTGGATTCCTTTATTTAAATGTTGGGTATATACCATACACTTGCCAAAAGAACATACTTTTTAGGCTTTGTCTAACCCCTTGCTACTAAACTGTGTCCAAAGACAAGTAACACTGGCATTGGGCTCCACTCCAGATTTACTGAATCAGAGCCTGCGATTTAACAAGGCCCCTAGGTGATGCTTCTGCATATTAAAATGTGAAAAGCACAGTTGCTTTTTTTTTTTTAAAAAAAAAAAAAGAAAGGTAGAAAGAAAAGCTCCAAACAATAGCTTTATCTTGGCAAAGGCCACTTGGAAACTTAAACTGCTTCCCTTGGGAACTGTGACCTCCCCTCACTCTCTTCTACTGGGGGTTGGGGGATCTGGTAAGCTCAAAGGCCAGTCAGGACCCTGCAGAGTGGGCTGTCCATCAGCACAGAGACCCAGGGACCAGGTGGGGCATACTTTCATCTCAGGCTAACCCCAGGCCTACCTGACGGGGATGGAGGTGAAAGGCCTCTTATATATGTCAGAAAGCTTCCCCAGCACCACGGCTGCCGTCGTGAAAATCCGATAGGTGTGCAGAAAGGTGTTGAGGAAATCAATGCTAAGAAAACGCAGGTCTGTCAGTCTCTCTAAGAGACGCTCCACGCTGGCGTACCGGATCTGTGGCACTTTGCAGGAGTTGAGGGTTTTACTGAAGCAAATGTCAGTGTCGTCCTTGTGAAGCCGGGCGTCAGACCTACGCACAAGGCAGGAAAGTGAGGACAAAACCAGAGCATAGCTGCCCCTCAGCCCCTGAGTATTTCAGGGTCTGTAAATGCACATTTGTGTCCAGGCTTCCCCTGGCATTTGATAAAAGATGTGCCAGGACATATCACATGCAACAAAACAGGGCCACAAAAATATCAACCATGCCATTATAATTTAAGAAGGTCAAAATTAATTGTGGAGACAGGAATCATTCATTCCACTCTGTGGATTCCTTCTCCAGGGGAGGAGAAATAATTTTCCCTCTACACTCCTGAGTTCTTAGCTGAGTCTCTGTGATAAAAGATGAACAAGAGAAAAATAAACAAGCTTATTAACATGTATACCTCACGTATCCCTGGGAGATAACCAGGAGAAAATGAGAAACTCAAAAAGCTGGCTTAGAACTCAGACTTAAATGCCATCTTAATAGGGAAAGTGGGAGGTGGGGTGGTGGTGTGTATAGGCTTCTCAGGGGAGAGTAAATGATTTTTAGGAAAGATGAATTGACCCTTAGAATAGATGAAAGGTATCAGAATAGATGGAAGGTATTAGAATAGCTGGAAGGTTTGTGACATTTAGCCTGGGTGTGATATTAACATCTAGTCTCTCCTGTGACAACTGTCAATCTTCCGTGGTTGGTGAAATTCCTGGGAAGATTTATGACAACTGAGTTCCTTTTTGAGAATCTGTCTTTAGGTAGATAAGAAGAGTTCAGAAAAACCCTCTCTGCATTTTCTGTTTTTCAAGTGTCTGTAGCTCAATGTAATCAACATGCCAAAGTGGCCTATGTTAGGGTGGCACACTCCACTTTCACATCTTTCTCTCTGGTTCAATCCTGTTTTACTAGGAAATTAACGCCAAAGTCCTATTTAGGAGGAGTAGGGTTTATACCCTCAAATCAGAATATCAGAAGTGTGATTAAAAAATAAGGGTAACATTCTCCCCACAGAAGGGTGGGGAGGAGGGGAAGACCCAGACAGCACTGCTATTATCTGTGGTTATTTCTTTTTCTCACTTGTAATTTTGTACATCTGTGCTTCCCCCCACCAATTTTTTTCTTGATTAAACTACTAGATATTATATTATTAGGTATTTTTTTCCTCTGGAAACAGCTCTTTGATCAGCTCTACTGTTTTTCTATATATTAAGGTATTAATTTCCATTCTTATTTTATTCCTACATTTTCCTACAGTTGATTTTTGTCATTCTTTTTCTAACTCCTTAATCCATTTCATTCTTTCTGGCTGATTAATGCATCAAAGGCCGTCCATTATTCTGAGTACATTTTAAACCATCAATTGTGTAAAATGTTGTGTTTTCCTTATGTTTTCAATACTCTGCAGTGTTAAAAAATGTCTTCCTAAAAAAATAATGGATGTAATATAGTCAGTGAACTCTTCTAAAGATTCCCCTTGCACAGTCCCCACCTGCCCACCTGCAACACTGGGTTTCTCTCATTCTGTAAAACCACCATCTGGCTGCTCCTCAACCTGTCACCCGGAGGCCCTTGTCCTGGAAGCCTGCAGCAGTCTTTCCAGGTGGGCAGCAAACTCAGGGGAAGGTTCACACAGCAGCCCTCAGGATCCTTGGGTGTGCTCAGAGCCCTCAGCCCGTGGTGCACCTCTGTTAGAAAGGTCAAGAAGCCAGCACCGGGGCTGAGTTCATAAGACGAAACGCGTGGAAGCTGAGGCTGAATTCAAGTGAGGCTCAAAGAAAAGCACACCTTTGCGAGGACTGCCCGTAGCCTTCACATTCCCATCTGAGACCCCGTGTCTACCTTCACGGCAGCATCTCAGAAACAGGCGATCAATGAAGTGCTGGATTTTTTCACTTGATTAAAGGGTACACTACGGGCCAGTGAGGTTCAGTGAGACAGTCGCTTGCTAAGAATCAGCTGGCTTGTTGTGTGTCCCTAATTAGCTCTTGCAGTACTTGGGAGGGATTTTAAATTATATATTTATTTTCTTTGGGATAAAAAGAAATCAACAGCTTCTTTAGCTTGCTCTTGGAAACATTCCACCCTAAAGTAAACTCAGTGCAGGGGGGAAGACTTCATCGGAGGGCCTGAAAGAGCATTTTAAATGAGTAGCTTACTTCTGATGAGGAACTAAGGGCAGCCTGTTCATTCCATTCACATCACTGATCTCGAAAATACAGAAGAGCATCAAGTAAGGCTCTTGAAAATAGAATGGCTCTTTCTTGTTCTTCATATGTAACCACCCACCAACTTTACTTTTCTGGTTCTTAATCTCCCTCCCTTGTTAAAAGACCTCAGAAGCTTCTTTAATTCAGCCAGTCTAAAGGATGGCTAATCAAGGTGATAACTTTTTAATCCCAACATTTTCCCATCTAAAATCTCCATTTTCTTAGAAATGGCATTTCTAAGTAATGCCATTAAGCTGGGAAAAATTTTTTCTTTTAACCTCTAAGTTGAGGTCAACTATTATGAAAACAAAGCAAGCCTCAGCCTAAATACATAAAGTATAAAACATCACTTAAAGGAATATAATCACCAAATAAATATCATGATTTTGTATTCTAATGGTAGTTTTGCACTTGGCATTTTCTGACAATAATTACTTTAATCAAATACTAGGAGGAAAAAATATATTGTAGCCAACATGAAATTAAAACTAATTACACCACTGCCTCTCAAAATTATGATTACAGTTTCATTTTAACTAAAGAAAAAAAATTAAATATTATGAAATTATTTAATTTTCTTTTATTACACTGAAAGAGATTTTACTTTATTTCCTAAGGGACCCTCAAGAAGATATAATGCGTTACTTAAGCCTCCTATGATAATAACAACTCCTTTTAGGTAAACATTTTAAAAAAACAATCTTGAAACATCAAACCCAAATCACCTATTGTAATTAGTAAGTTTTAAAAGTGAGCCCCTGCAAAGTAATGCCATTAAGATAGAATAAATTTTTTTCTTTTACCTCTGCAAAACATCTTTTTTTTTTTTTTTGCATGTAGCCAGAGAGATATGCCGGGAGGCAAGAACACAGAATTTAGGGAAGAACAGGACCACAGACGAGACTATCAGAAGGAACAGAGATTGCAAAATCATCTTTTTCTCTGATTGAAGAGAACCAGGCTCAAAGAGCCAGGGGAAAATGGAAGGAAGAAAGATAGTAGACATATGAAACTCTGCCTTGGGAATACACCTCATGGAGAATAGATGGGCATCCAAACATGTGTGACTTCAATAGGAGGACCTTACAGCCTCAGATACAAGTTTCTATTCTCTAGTGAGTGGTTCCAACTCATAACAGTGACCTCTCTGTCCCCCCAAATGCAGGGAAGTCTTGGTCTATACAGAAGGCAGTTACAAATGAAACTGGAAATGGGCATTAGTCAAACTCCCAGCACAGAGGACAGAGGATGCATTGAGGTGCCAGTCATAACTGAGGCAGACAGAAAACTAAAGTTTTTAACTGTATTAATTTTTAAAGTGAACAAAGTGAACAAAGTGTATGTAGAGTAGGCATGCAGCTGCCCTGAGGTTCAGGAGCTGATAAGTTGGCTACCAAGTCCAACTTACATATTCTCATTCTAGAGCAGACTGGAATTTCAAGGCTGTCTAACCTTCAAGAAAGTACTTTTAAAAAATGGATAAAAATAAGATATATTATTTTGTGAACTATTCAAATAAGTCCCATCACTTCATGGCAAATAGATAATGGAAACAATGGAAACAGTAAGAGACTTTATTTTTCTGGGCTCCAAACTCACTGCAGATGGTGACTGCAGGCATAAAATTAAAAGATGCTTGCTCCTTGGTAGAAAAGCTATGACCAACCTAGACAGCATATTAAAAAGCAGAGACATTACTTTGCTGCCAAAGGTCTGTATAGTCAAAGCTATGGTTTTTCCAGTAGTCGTGTATGGATGTGAGTGTTGGACCATAAAGAAAGCTGAGCACTGAAGAATTGATGCTTTTGAACTGTGGTGTTGGAGAAGACTCTTGAGAGTCCCCTGGACTGCAAGGAGATCAAACTGGTCAATCCTAAAGAAAATCAACCCTGAATATTCATCGGAAGGACTGGTGCTAAAGCCAAAACTCCAATACTTTGGCCATCTGATGCAAAGAACTGACTCATTGGAAAAGACCCTGATTTGGGGAAAGATTAAAGGTGGGAGGGGAAGGGGACAACAGAGGATGAGATGGTTGGATGGCATCACTGACTTGATGGACATGAGTCTGAACAAGCTCCGGGAGCTGGTGATGGACAGGGAGGCCTGGCATGCTGCAGTCCATGGGGTCGCAAAAAGTCGGACACGACTGAGCGACTGAACTGAAATGTACTGAACTCTGGCAGAAAACTAATAAGAAAACTAGCCTGGTGATGTGAACTTAAAAATTAAGTCATAATTTGAAACCTTTGACTTAATATTCCATACTTGGTTTTAATTTTATTATCATACATTTTAAACTGATCTTTTCTTTTTACCTACCTTTAAAAAAATACACTTATTTATTTATTTATTGTTGGCTTCATTGTGTCTTGGTTGCAGCACATAAAATCTTCATTGCAGCACACAGGTGCTCTCTAGTTGTGGTGTGTGGAATTAATTGCCCCATGGCATGTGGTATCTTAGATCCCTCGCCAGGGAACAAACTTGAGTCCCCTGAATTGGAAAGTGGATTTCTAAGTCCCTGATCTGTTGTTTCTTTTTTAAACTATATTTTAAAACCTAGGAAACTTAAGGCTAAAGGAATCTCTGCATGAGAGTCTTAAAATGACCCCTGTTGTTGTTCAGTCACTCAGTTGTGTCCAACTCTTTGTGACACCATGGACTACAGCAAGCCAGGTTTCCCTGTCCTTCACCATCTCCTGGAGCTTGCTCAAACTCATGTCCATTGAGTCAGTGATGCCATCCAACCGTCTCAGCCTGTTGCCCCCTTCTCCTCCTACTCTCAGTCTTCCCCAGCATCAGGATATTTTCCAATGAGTTGACTCTTCACATCAGGTAGCCAAAGTATTGGAGCTCCAGCATCAGTCTTTCTAATGAATACTCAATGTTGATTTCCTTTAGGATTGACTGGTTTGATCTCCTTGCAGTCCCAGAGACTCTCAAGACTCTTCTCCAACACCACAGTTCAAAAGCATCAATTCAGCTTTTCTATGGTCCAACTCTCATACCCATACACTACTACTGGAAAAACCACAGCTTTGACTATATGGACCTTTGTCAGAAAAGTAATGTCTCTGAGTTTTAATATACTGTCTAGGTTTGTCATAGCTTTTCTTCCATAAAAAGAAAGAAAAAATGACCCTGTTCAAAATATTTTAAAACTTGACTAGCAATTTAAAATAGTATCATCCTTTTACATATTTTCTGTAGTAACTGTGGCACTAGTATAATATACTCTGCCTTCATCTGATACAATAATTAACAAGTTTTAAAGTTTGTACCATTGGGATGATGCTAATTACAATAAATACCTATCATTGTACCTACAATGAAAGTACCTATCAATTGTACCTATCAATACCTGCAATGAAGAGAAAAGTTGATGCTGCTTTTTGTCTTAGCTCAGACCTAAAAAAAAATCCACATAAAAGGCATGGAAGACAAACATTTTCTTAGCTTCATGTAACTTTTTGGAAAGATATAACAGGACTATTTTTAAAAATACATTTTATTCTTAGAATTTGGACTGCAAATAACCAAGAAAATGAGAGTAGGGAATAATTTGGTCAGCTTGAAAATCCTTCCAAAGCAATTTTTGAATTTGGAAACAAGAAAGTATATAGAGACAAAGTACTAATGAAGAGAGTTATGGCACATGGTTATTGATATAACTTCTCACTTCAAATAAAACTACAGTTTCCTTAGTCATAACACTAAATTATTGGATTTGCTTTCTTAATAAAACACATGGACAGCAGGATGGAAGCCCCCAGAAATAGCCTCTGGGGCAAATCCATACACAGGCTGTGGGTAGATGGTACCATAGAAAAGCCAGTTAATTTATGTTGAGTGTCTTCAAAATATCAATGTGTCTCTACAACCAAATCTAACTAATATGATTTATACTCACTGAGAAGACTGCAAAAGAATCTGCCAAACTTTTGTCCACCCTGACACATTTGCTATCACAACTTTATATACTGAACTTAAAATTTTTTATAGGTTTTTTGCACTGAGGAAGGCATTCTGAATAGTATGAAAAACTATATTTCTATGCTGTGAGTCAATAAACTATGAATCTGAAAAACCATTACAATAGTCTTATTATTTATAATGGCATATTATGAATTATCACACTACTGTTGAATGTATTCACAGTATGAAGCTGAATCCCAGTGAAGCAATATTTTATTCAGGGTTTTACATTCTCCACCAATTTGATCCTGATTAAAATGTCAGAGAAAGGATTATCACACTTACTTAATCATATGTGGCACAGTAACTTTGGAATTTTCTTCAAACACTATAGTCATTAAACCATTACACCGTATGTTGTCCACGCACTGTGAAATTAAAAAATAGACAGTTACAACCCACATGAAAACCTAGGCAGAGTCTGTATTCCTAGAATTATTTACAGTCATAAAAACAATCCAGTTTCTCATCTGGGCACACAAGCACACAAGCATGGGTGTGCACACATGTGTACACACTCACATACATGCGCACACACAGAGGGAAACGTTACGCACTGAAGAACAGACTCAATATCCAAATACCCAAACTGTGCACCTAGCAAACGCCCAAGGATAGATATTAGGGCTGCATTTTCCTGGAACGTGTTCCCCAAGGATTCTGAGCACAATGTCACATCGGCACAACCCTCTGGCAGCCACAGCTCTACTTGAGGAGTTTATAACCCTAGTGACCACCTCTGCAATATTCCTTCTCTATCACAGGGCGTGGTGTGGGGCAGGCAGAGGGGAAATGGTGGCTTCCCTGGCTGGGGTTCATCTTCTCTCTCACTAGTAAGCTCTGTGGGTGCTTTTTTTGTATTTTTTTGCCAACAAATCCCCACATTTTACTAGTTTCTCAAGCAGCTTCTATTGGCAATGTGTTGGTTTGGTGAGGATGAACTGTATGATTTCTCCTGTTTCTGACATACATAAAGCCCTGTTCATCTCCTCTCTTTTCTTTCTAAGAAGAAAACTCAGAACTTTGCTAATTTTCTCTGCCTTCTTTATTTACATCTATGCCTTATCAATTCAAAATTTCCCTTTGCAATTACTTTGGGTTAGAGAAGTATTTTGAATTATACATATTTCCTTTAAACGAAACAGAAAATGAAAAAAAACCTAAACAGTTTTTAAAATCAGAAATTACTTTTAGTTACTAGGATGCCATGTACTACTTAATGATTATAATTAAATGGTGTGAGGAAAATTGATTGCCAAGTGATTTCACACAGCTCCTGAACTCAGGGTTTATCCTAAACCCCAATGTCTAATTAAAGAATGAATATGCATATAAAAAACTTTGGATTAATGGCATGCCCTGACTGTTGATTCCCCTATTTAGCATATCCGTCATTTTCATACTTAATGTTCCTTAAAAATTTGTTTCCTCAAATCTTATGCCATTATTTCAATGACGAGGTATAACAGATCTCAACTTCTGGGAATAAAGCAGAATATCTTAAAGTTTCTCTTCAATTCATTTCTTTAAACATCTGGAATTTTGAATTATCTTCTTATATGAATAACTGTGATTATCTAACTACAAATTAGATGATATGTGCTTATATGTGAGTTTATACTATATCTTACTCCCCTAGGTGGATTACAAAAATACATATAGTAAGACAAAGTCAAGGTAAGTAAGAAAATCAGAGAGGATTTGGATAAAGGGTGAAAAATAATAAGATGAAACCTGGAACCAATCGACCACATATACTTTATGTTGAGAAGTTCCAAACACTTGCTCTACGTGGTCCTCAAAATTAGCTGAGTCATGGGGCAGCCAACTCAAAGGAAGCCATATGATCAACTACAAAATTCATGGCTTAACAGAACCTCAATTCATCCTACTCTCTGTCCAAAGGAAAATTATCTCATGGGTCTAATAAAGAAAACATTGAATAATGTCATGAACATTATTGTCTTCAACAACTTCCTTTTAAAGTAATTACAGTTTTGTTTTTTATCAAACTGTGTCTTATAAACTTGCTCAACATTGGTTGAAGAGTACAATTTCAAACTAACCACTCTGGTGAGTCCCAAAGGGTGGGTCCTGCCTTTGCTCATCTGATTTCAAGCACTAATTTCATACTCCGCAGAAAAGGGTATGTATGGGCTGCTCCTCTTTAGGCATAAATAAATGCTGCTTCTCCCATCAGCTTTGAGTAGCAGGAAGTTAGACATGGTATTCTTCCCAAAGTTCTGAAACTGCACTGTCCTAAATTAGTACCCAGTTGTATGGAGTCAGTGTTTCCACCAGTGAGACCAGTGAGAGTCTCCACCAGTGGTAGAGCCTACTGCCCTCTACCAGTAGGAGGGGTATCCTCTTAGGCCTCAAAATGGCCACACGACCTCAAAGGGAGAGCTCTCAGTCAGGGCCAGGTGAAAAGAGACGCCTATAACCCCATTCATTTCTAAGCATGAGCATACAGCAGAAAGAGAGGAGGTGAGCCTGGCTGGTGTGAGCATCTATAACGGAGGAGACAGTAAGAAAGAGGAACTCAGCTGGAGTCAGCAGTCTCGAATCTGGATTATCCAGCAGGCAGATGGGAAGTCACTACAAGTTTCTAAGTGGTCTTGTTCAAGTTAAAATATCTACAGCTGGGGGAATTCACTGAATGGCAAGATCATCAGGATGATATTCTGAGTCACAAATGAAATGATTCATGCCTCCGCTGAGGCAGACCATGGGAATGAAGAGGAACGGATGGAGATAAATATTTTGAAGAAAGCAATAATAGAAATTGATGAGTTACTGAATAAAACCAAAAGAAAAAAAAGCACGGCAACATTAAAAAATGACTATCACTATTAGGCCATTTTAAATTGGAAAATGCAAATATATTTAAAAGCAATAAACATGACCAATGTCTTTTGAGTGACACAGAACTTAACCAAAATTAGTCTACCTTTTTGGATTCTCATGAGCACCAAGAAGATGCATGGATTATATGGCATTAGAGAAGGCAATGGCACCCCACTGCAGTACTCTTGCCTGGAAAATCCCATGGACAGAGAAGCCTGGTAGGCTGCAGTCCATGGGGTCGCGAAGAGTTGGGACACAACTGAGTGACTTTACTTTGACTTTTCACTTTCATGCACTGGAGAAGGAAATGGCAACCCACTCCAGGGTTCTTGCCTGGAGAATCCCAGGGACGGGGGAGCCTGGTGGGCTGCCGTCTATGGGGTCGCACAGAGTCGGACACAACTGAAGCGACTCAGGAGCAGCAGCAGCAGCAGGGATTTTATTAAATGAGGGTTTCATGTCTGCATTTATTAAGTATGTACCTATGTGACAGATACTGGGCTAAATGCTGGGAGATGAGGGCAGGGAGCAGAGAAAGAATATATTAAAGAGTTTCAAAGATTAGTAAGGTCAGTTCAGTTCAGCTCAGTCGCTCAGTCATGTCCAACTCTTTGTGACCCCATGAATCGCAGCACGCCAGGTCTCCCTGTTCATCACAAACTCCCGGAGTTTACTCAAACTCATGTCCATGGAGTTGGTGATGCCATCCAGCCATCTCATCCTCTGTCGTCCCCTTCTCCTCCTGCCCCCAATCTCTCCCAGCATTAGGGTCTTTTTCAATGAGTCAACTCTTCGCATCAGGTGGCCAAAGTATTGAAGTTTCAGCTTCAGCATCAGTCCTTCCAATGAACACCCAGGACTGATCTCCTTCAGGATGGACTGGTTGGATCTCCTTGCAGTCCAAGGGACTCTCAAGAGTCTTCTCCAACACCACAGTTCAAAAGCATCAATTTTTCAGCACTCAGCTTTCTTCACAGTCCAACTATCACACCCATACATGACCACTGGAAAAACCATAGCCTTGACCAGACGGACCTTTGTTGGCAAAGTAATGTCTCTGCTTTTTAATATGCTATCTAGGTTGGTCATAACTTTCCTTCCAAGGAGTAAGCATCTTTTAATTTCATGGCTGCAGTCACCATCTGCAGTGAGTAAGGCAAACCACTTTAAATTCATTTTCCTAATTCCAATGGGAAAATGGTTTAGCACTATCCCCATTCTTATGAAAACTACAAGCGAGATTTGGGGGCATGGGGACAGATGTTGCATACAGACAGGGAGAGGAAGCAGGGGTTAAGTGATCCTTCACCCCAGTGACATTTCTAGCTATTCCTTAGACTTTTCATTCTCAGTTTTTCTGAGCAGAATGAAGATATTACCTGGGTAACCAACACAGGAAGTGGGAGAACAGAGACGGTGTTTGGTGAGAATTGTGGAAAGTAAACAGTGTTCCTTCAATTTCCTTTAACAGTCTAAGCAACAGCATAGTTATCAGACAACAGCCTTAGGATGTCTCAGGGCTATAGATTTTTTGTTTAGATATTCCATTTGGTTCTTTAAAAGTTATGTCTGGATCCTTTTTACATAGTGATCTTTTCTTTCCTTTCTTCTTCCTTCCCTCCTTTCCTTTCATACTTTATTTTAAACCTTCTTTTAAACCTGTCTTTACTAAGTTATCACTCTATTAGGTGAAGTTTCAGCAGTGCTAATTATACTGCTTACTGAGTCTTCTGACTCTCATTCATGATAGATCAGTTACTCAAAAGATTTGTAATTTTTGATTTTGAGCACACTGTCATGAGCCCTGAACTGTTAAAGTGTTGCTAATGCAGTGACTTTGTGTTTGCTTCTACCAAGCATTCTTGGGTTAGCAACAGTCCAAAAATTGTTTCTGCATTAATTTCTCAGTTTGGAATTTTCACACCATGTGAATATTGTGAATCTGAATTTCAAATCCATAGGCCAGAAATGCATTTGTTTTTCTCAAAGGAGATTTTATTTATTTTTTTTTTCCTCATCCTACTGTTTTATTTATTTTTTTTTTTTATCACAACCATAGTGTATCTTTTTTTTTTTTTTTACATGTATTCCCCATCCCGGTCCCCCCTCCCACCTCCCTCTCCACCCAATCCCTCTGGGTCTTCCCAGTGCACCAGGCCCGAGCACTTGTCTCATGCACCCAACCTGGGCTGGTGAACTGTTTCACCCTAGATAATATACGTGTTTCAATGCTGTTCTCTTGAAACATCCCACCCTCGCCTTCTCCCAGAGTCCACAAGTCTGTTCTATACATAGGAGTCTCTTTTTCTGTTTTGCACATAGGGTTATCGTTACCATCTTTCTAAATTCCATATACATGTGTTAGTATACTGTAATGGTCTTTATCTTTCTGGCTTACTTCGCTCTGTATAATGGGCTCCAGTTTCATCCATCTCATTAGAACTGATTCAAATGAATTCTTTTTAATGGCTGAGTAATATTCCATGGTGTATATGTACCACAGCTTCCTCATCCATTCGTC